CCCTCTCTGGTCAAATTAAAATAAATAAATAAATAAAGTTAAATAAAATAATTCTAAAAAAAAAGAAGAAAAACAAATTCTAATAAAAGCAGTACTTTCTAATTTTTACTCCAACTTCCCTCACCTTCTTGATTATAAAAATAAGTCAGTTTATTTTCTGATGCATAAAAGTAATACCTATTACTTCTATACCAGGCAATGGAAAGGAAGCCCTGCAAAATAAAGTGATTGTCCTAAATAATGTCTAAGGTGACTTTCAATTGGAAAAAAAAAAACAAAATTCTTGTAAATAGAACTCAATTGCTGCCAACATCCTGATACTTTATAATGTTTTTAAAATTTTAATGCAGAAAAAGAGAAATTCACTCCAAATTCAGAAGTATGCTCACCTGGCGTCCAGCCATCTTTACAGAAGAGTTAGTATCTTAACCATTTGTTGAATTTCATCATAATCCTTAACAGTATACCTCTGAAAATGCCAATTTTTCCTACAGCAACTGATTTGCAAACTACACCACAGATGGTCAACAGCCTTTTCCTTTCCTTACTTTGTGGAAGAACTTCCTCTAAGTTCTCACTTTGGGTACTGTAACTTCCAATGAACAGGTTAAGGCTACCATGCAATCCTGGACTTTCAAGAGAAAGGAAACTTCACAACTCTTTAAACTTTAGGACTACACTCTAATGGGCTAAGTCTTTAGTTTGCCAAGATAATATTTTCAACATATGTCTATATATATGTATTTCTCCTCCCTTTTTGAGATGGCAAAAGCTTCTTCAGTAATGTGATAATTCTCTTTTTCTCTTGTTGCCTGAATCCTAAATTCCCAGTCCTTTGGCCAAACAGATCACATGCTGAGTAAGTTACCACTCTTATATATGAGATAGCTCAGAAACAAAAGCTGAGTCTGATATTAACCAAGAGCTATGAATGCCAATATCTTTGGGATCAACAACTGATGCAGACAAAACATGATTTTATTCTATGCTTATATAAACTGTCATTCTTTGGGTAGAAACCTGATGTTGACTTTATTCTCCAACAACAAAAAAATTTTAGATGGCAAGTAATATATATTCATCCCAACAACTTCAGAAAGGAAAACCAGTTAAGATAACAAAAACAGTAAAAGGATGGGGGGGAGTAACTTAAACAAATAATGAAGTTATCAAAGGTGACTAAAGAAAACAAGAGATTTCATTTTGCACTTTCACCATTAAGAGTATATCAGGAAGAGCATGAACATAATAGATCACAAAGAACGTATGGTTAATTCATCAAAAGCCCAGAGCTTAGGACATCTGTTCATTAAGAACAGGTTGGTAGGGAGCTAACTCTGTAAAGGAGCAGTTAAGTGCTATGCAGTGGATGTCAGATTCCAGATGGCTGACCAGGGGTCAGGTCCCTGTGCTAGTGGCATACACATAGGGAGGACACACAGTGCCCAGAATCTCAACAGGATGGAGAATTAGAAAACAAAGGACTGTGATGTGACCAGACCCTGTTGGGTGATGCTTTGTCTTTTTTTTTCCTCTTGTGCATACACCTTTTGGAATATTAAGAGGAAAAAATTTAAAAAAAAAAAAAGAGCAGTTTGACTGCTTTCATTAAGAGCAGCTTTACCTCAGTAAGCCCAATATTCTTCCTTTTAATGACATTCTGCAGAGAGTTGCTCAGAGTCCTGGTTAGCAATAGGTTTGTAGATTTTCTAATCATGTCATCGACTTCAGTTGAGCTGAAAAGAAAGTATTTAGAGTCAGTCATCCAGGTAGCAGGATTACTTTGGTAAACAAATAAGATAACAATGGTGCTCATAAGTAGTAGTAATAATAATAATAGCAGTATCAAATAATACTACATACTAGAAAATATTCTAAATACTTTAGTGAATTCTCTTAGCTATAATTTGGCTAATATTTTTGCTTTAACTTTGGAAATTAATTTTTCTTTCTATAGAATTCTGGCATAACTGTTTAATGTTTTGAGTCTTTTAAGAATATCACTCCATTGTCTCTGGCTTGCATGGCTTCAGGAAAAAAGTCTGCTATAATTCCTACCACTATACTTGCATGTAATGTTTGTTTTTCTGAAATTCTTCTAAACATTTTCTTTACTTCCATTTTCCACCAGTTTGAGTATGATGTCTTTAAGTATTTTTGATTGTTATTGTGCTATTGTTTACCTGGATTGGAGTTCTCAAAATACTGAATCTCTAGTTTGATGTCTCCATTACCTTTTTAAAAAAAAATTGCCAGAGGGCATGGGCACTCACCAGAAAGAGGAGTAAAGAGAGCACCCCTCAACAAGCATTGTCACAATGAGATTGCTTTGCCTTCATGTCTTCATCCCATTAGAAATTTGGGCAAGCAAGCATACATGCCTGATGTGTTTTTCAAGTTTCCAGGGTCTGGATTTGAACTGCAGTTGGCCACATGGGATTCAGCTTTCTGTGTATGGTGCTTAACCACTTAACTACAGAGCTGGCCCTCTCATTATTTTTCAAACATTCTCGGCCATTAACTCAAAATATGACTTCTTCCCAGTATTCTTAATTGTTTCCTTCTTGGATCTATCATTTGAAATTGCCCTGCAGATCTCAGTGCTTTTCCTATTTCTTTCACCTTTTTTCTTTTTCGTTGTGTGCCGATTTGAGTAACTTCTACTGACCTATCTTAGTTCTCTCCACAGCTATGTCAAATGTACTGATGAGCCTCTCAAAAGAATTCTTGATCTTTAAGACTCTTTTATGTCAAAGATTTCTATTTGAATCTTTCCTATTATTTCCATCTGTTTGCTAAAAGTCCCTACATGTTCATACATATGGTATTTTAAAGTCCCTGGCAGCTCATTGGTAAATTATGTTTTAATAGCCAGAGAGAATGTGTGCTTACCAGAGCTCACACTTTCCATTTATTCATATTTTTTTAATTTACTGAACTAAATGCAAGAGATATTATGTTGAACAAAAGACAAACCATTTTTATACTATAAGAGGCCTTCTTTTTTGTACTTTCTTTATTTTTATATTTAGTCATTGTGTATCTTTATAACATACAAAATAATCCTCCCAGCAATATACACTACATGTTAGTCCAGTCAAAGATATTATTATTTATATTATCCTTATCAATTAATCTTCCATTTTTGTGTCCATTAAATGTTCTGCTTTCTTTTTATTCCTTTATTCCCTCCCTTCTGCCCCCCCACTCCCCATTGCCCACTCTCCTCCCACATTGTCTCTAGTATCCACAGTTGCTCTCCAGGCTTTTATATCTTCTGATCTTTCAGTTTCTGCTAGAGTTCAGACATTTAGTATATATAGAATGGAGACATACGATGTCTCTTTTCATATTCTGGTTTGCTTCACTTAGCATTAAATCTTCTATCAAATGCCAGGTTCTCATTGTTTTTTTGTTGTTGTTTTTGTCTGTTTGTTTGTTTTTGTTTTTTAATGGCTGAGTAGTATTCCCTAATGTAAATGTGCCACACTTTTTCAATCCATTAGTCTGTTCATGGACATTTGAGTTGATTCCATGCCTTAGCAATTGTGAATAATGCCACGATAAACATGGATGTGCAAGTGCTTTTCTGATTGAGTGTATTCCTATACTTTGAGTAGATAGCCAGGAATGGAATTGCTGGATCATATAGTAGTTACATTCGTAGGTCTTTGAGAAACCGCCATATTGTTCTCCACATTGGCTATACTAATTTACATCTCCAGTAACAGTGTAGTAGAGTTCCCTTTTTACTGCAGCTTTGCCAGCACTTATCGTTCTTTATTTTTTTAATCTTAGTCATTCTGACCGGGGCTAGGTGGTATCTCACTGTAGTTTTGATTGGCATCTCCCTTATGATAAGGGATGTTGTGCATTTTTTCATATGCTTTTTGACTGTTTGTATGTCTTATTTTGAGAGTTGTCTTTTCAGCTCATTTGTCTACCTTTTGAATGCACTGATTATTTTTTTGGTGGGTAAGCTGCTTGAGTCCCCTGTATATTCTGGTTATCAGTCCTTTATCTGAGGCAGAGTTTAGAGATATATTCTTCCACTTCTGAGGGGTGTCTCTTCAAGAGACCTTTTCTAAGATCCTTGATTTGTGTTAGGATTGGCACCAATGTTATTCCTATATATCTCTAACACCTATTATTAATTATTCAATTCCTTAGTTAGACTAGGTACTCCTTGAAGACAGAGACCATATTTTCAGTATCTAAGGTCTTATTGTCTACCAAGCAGCAATGTATGATAAATAAACCAATAAATGAATAAAGAAGCATAGGAGCCCATAGTCTAGCACATACATACACACATTAATATTAATATATATGTGTATGTTTCCTAGTCCAGGTGCAGTGGGATCTAGGGCATGCACTAACATGCAGTGGCACAGGTGGTAGGGCACACTGTGTGATACTAGAGCCATATGGGAAGGCCTGGGTTTCAGATCCTCGATCAGCCTGAACATGCTAGGTGCACCTGCTATCTTGGATGGTTAGAAGACTGGGGGAAAGAATAGATCATGGCATGGTGAGGCCATGTATCTTTCTTTAGGTTTTTTTTTTTTTTTTGAGAGGTTTTTGCTATAGGGCACGTGCGCTCGCCAGACAGAGAGAGACATAGAGACAGAAAGCGAGAAATCACCCCCCAGGGGGGATGGTCATGCCGCAATCCCTTCTCCTCCATTCTCCTCTCGGGATCTTGGGCACGCATGCACACGCACCCAGCGTGAGTTTTAAGCCACCGGGTCCAGGACGCGAACCACGGTCGACTATGTGGGAGTCCAGCGACATAGCCATTACGCTAACTGCTGGTTCCCACCATGTATCTTTCTTTATATTTTCAATCAGATGGGTACTATGCTGACAGTGTGTAACAAGGCTCAAGGGAAGCACATTACACAACAGTATGAATATCCAATAACCATGCTTATGAAACATCTTTCTGTTTCTTTCATGAAAGAAAATGTGTAAATAAACTTTAAAAACAGTAATAATATTTCCAAGGGATTATACATGCTACTCCCCTTCTGGCCTTAAAATTTCATGGAGTAAAACGCTCAAATTAATAATGTGATATTACTGTTTTCTAGTAAATTCTCATTAACACAAAGTGTTAAAAATGCAAATTTATAAAGCAAATGGTAAAGAATAGGTAATGTAATTTTTTAAATTATCCAAAAATTACTAACTTCCCTTTTACCACATCTATGTAATAACATCAGTGCTGTGCAGTGATGGGCTTACGTTGAGACTTTCAAAGTAAGACTAAAAGGAATACTGAAATGTTTCTCATTATATTTACGTATATAGAGAATCACAATATGAGTATTAGCTGCATTTCCTCTGTTTAGTATTATACCTTAGATGAAGATCTTCTGAAAACTTCAAACAGGCGTAGATAAATTCTTTAATTTGGTTGTAAACTTTTGGCACAAATTCAGAGAAAGGAAACTTTTTTGGAAATGGTTGCTGTAAGTGCAAGAATTAATGAAAAATCAGGTCGATGAACCAACATACAATGAAGATGCTTATAAATTATTTATAATGATAAAGGATCTTTCTTCCACCTTGTGAACTATATGCTTAACAAGTTCATATTTAAGAAAATATGTCCAAAAGCATCCTACTACAGAGAAGAATAAAACATAAATTTAAATAAAATAACCATCCAAATGTCCTTCAATATGTGAAGGAATAAACAAATTACAGCACATTCTTTTTTTTTTTTTCTTTTTTTGGAGAGGGTTTTGCTATAGGGCACGTGTGCTCACCAGGAAGACAGAGACAGACAGAAAGACAGAAAGCTATAAATCCCCCCCCGGGGGGATGGCTATGCTGCAATCCCTTCTCCTCCATTCTCCTCTTGGGATCTAGGGCATGCACTAACATGCATCTGGCGTGAGTTTAAGCTGCTGGGTCCAGGACTCGAACCACAGTCGACTACATGGGAGTCCAGCGACATAGCCATTATGCCAACTGCTAGTCCCAAATTATAGCACATTCTGAGCAATAAAAAGAAATAAACTACTGACAGAGACAACAATGTGGATGAATTTCAAAGTATTATGCTGATTCTTAGAAGATAGTCTCAGAAAGTTGAATATTGTATAATTCCATTTACTTGGCATTCTAGAAAAAGTAAAGTAGATGAACAGAGACTATATTGATGGTTTTCCAGGGGCTGAGGTTGAGGGTATAGGTTGATTACAAAAAGGCAGCATGAAGGAATTTTGGGGGATGACGAAACTGGTAGGGGATAAATGACTCAGTGCATTCTCAAAACCAAAAGAGTTAGACACCACGAGGTAAATTTTACTGTATATTTTGGGGAAACCAAGTATTTTGAAGTATAATACTGAATTAGAACACTTTCAGCAATCCTCCGAACATTTCAGAGTTAAAAGGATCCCCAAATCATCTACTGAGTACTAAATAGGAAATCCTATTATTCTTCTAAGCCCCAAAAAGGTATATGAATATCTTCGAGTCCTTTTGAAGGTATTTTAGAGTTCTAATCCATTGAACTGAAGGCATTATTTTCATGAAACTGACCCACTGAAAGCTTTCAGAGTATTCCAAAATAACCAAACAAATTTTATTTTTAAGTATTCCTTACTTTTTCCAGCTCGAGGTCTTGGAATGGGAATTGTCCTACCACCTTTTTATACATTTCTTCACTTGTTACTGGTATGGGACTATAGTTGTCAGAATCAAGTATGTTTCTATAAATGGAGAGAAGAGATGAGGAAGAGAGGGTGTGTTAATCACAAATAATTTTCTGATGAACACCAATGGTTGAATGTATACCACAACTCACAAATGCACTCTAATATCTATTATGTTTCCTTCACAGTATAGCTATTTAGTTTTGGGGAAGGCCAACTTTTTAAAAAGATAGAAAGAAAACTAAACTTGGAAACAATATTATCTTCTAGTGTTTGAGATTTACAAAAGGAACAGATAATTTTAAGGCAAGTGGAATAGACAATAAAATGGTATATCTAAAAAAGGTAAAAAAGGTCATTTGTGTTTGGTTGGTTCAATAAGAGACAATAGATTATTTTCCTTAATCCTATACTATATTTTAACTTTGAAAATGATAGATGGGAAAAGTAACTTCTATAATAAATTCAAATTATTTTCACTTCATCTATTGCTTTTTATTAATCTTGAATGCTTTTTTAATCTATAGGTCTCATTAAGATGGATTCTTTAAAAGTAGAGAGACAATACTATAAAAAACAAAGCAGAATCTCACTGAAGGCATTAGAGCAGAGGGACTAAGAGTATGTATATATCATATCATTAACTTTCAAATTTCTTGTCGAGATAACCTTATCTTAAATATAGATCACTGAAAAAGTTGACTAAGGAGACATTAGTGACTGAGATAGATAATAGAATATCTTTCCTTATCCACATAGAATGGAGTTTATGTCAAGCTTACTATTTAAGTGGGTATTGGATCAGATGCACAAATAAGAAAGTTATTCTATCATCTCTCACACTCACTAATGTCTCCTTGGAATATTTTCTCAGTACATACCCCATGTCATTTGAGCATATTCTCTTTTTAAACTTTTATCCTTTACTTTAAGTAATCTTACTGCTTATGACAAAGCTCCTCCCCAGATCACCTTGTCCTGTTTTCAAGTTTTTTTACCTTTAAGATCTTACATTTTAAAAATTATACTCTTCACAGATTGTGAGCATATCCCTAATCATCACTTAGTCCAACTAATCTGTATAACAATATAAATATTTATATTTCTAAAACCCTGATTTTTCTAATGGCATAATTGTATTGGGTTGTCGGAAAAGTCATGATGCATTTTTCTATGGAAAAATGTAGACTAAGTACGAGCCTCAGAAAGAAAACAAACGAGCAAACTTAGTAAGATGATAGAAGATTATCTGGATGCTATTAACCAATGAATATAGCACATATTACAGGGAAACAAAAATATCAAAATAGGGCTTGGGAACTTTCTGACACAGAAGACACTAGTGCACTGAGACCGTCTTTCTTGGGAATGTAATTTGGGATTCCATTACAATTTACTTCAATTCTGGATCATACCCTAGAGTAGGGAGAAAATATAATGCACATATATTTGTTTATGATATCTGAAAAACCTTGTATATAAATACATGTGTATACACACATGCACATGTACATACACATTTAAAACAATAGATAATTTCTCACCTGAAAATTCCTGCCCATTTCTTTAGCAGAGTTTCACTATACTGGTCTCTAATTTCTAATAGCATGTCAAAAAGCTGATTCACAGGAAAACCATACACCTGAAACAAAATAAGAGAACAATCATACTTTCTATGGTTTCTATGGTTACATTTTCGCAACACTAAGAGATCAGATATTACAAAGCATTTTGTCCTTTGGACAGCAAATTAAAGGAATCCATGATAGTGGAATCCTTTATTCTCACCTACTATCTAGTGCTTATACCTAGAGAAGTAAAATATACATGGCTAAATGTCTAAGACAATCAGAAAAAAAGGAAGAAATGAAAAATAAAATCAATATAAATTGAGTATTAAGTTCTCCATACAACTCCCTTTATAATTCTTAATAACTACAGGAAC